CAGACTCCCAGTAAGCTGGATGGCCGTCACACTGGGCAAGAAGGAAGATGTGGAAGGGTGGGGGCACATGTACCTAGGGCTTAGTGAGACAGGTGATAAATCTGGAAGTCATGTTGTGAGGACTGGTATGACATGACTGATACAAAGAAAGGGAAAAACAAGAATAGAGCTTGAAACTGGCACCTTTTCTTTTAATGCACCTTCTCTCTTTGACTACTGGATACAAAGTAATGCACACAGAAGTGCATTAGGATATGTCTATAGGCTCTGGCTTCTCCAGAGTTCTATAGAAAGAGAATAGAAGCAACAAACTGTAGAGAAAAAATGGCACAGCAAGAAACCCAATAACAGATCTGTGAGGATGATGAAGTCATATGTAGAATAAATTCAGAAAATGAACAGGCTCTTGTATGACTAAGAATAACGAGCGAGCTTCCGTATGCTTTAAGGCACAAACTGATGGCATGGCTGGTAACTTTAATCAGGCGAAATGCTCATTGTAATTGGCTTTTTAAATAAAACTATCTGGTTTGGCCCACATGCATTTAGCCAGGACATTCCAGTTAATTAGCATCAGCCAGAAATCTCTCTTTCCTGTCCATATGGAGTTTGCATTTTGAGAACTCGAGGAGGTGGTGATGGCAGAGAAGAGGAAGATGGGAAGATGTTTTTTTTTCTTAAGCTACAGACATCTACCACTGGTCAAAAGAGAATGTAAACCACAGTTCCTCTTTAAGGCCTCTTTAGAGGGCATTACAAATTGCTTTGTAATAAACGTAAAATGCTTATTTCTGAAACTAGTAATGTTCAGCAGGTTAATACTGAAGCTTTAACAGTAACCAAATCTTATAGTAAAAAATACTAGTAAACCCTGCCAAATTCTTATTCTTATCATTAGAAAGTCTTTGCTCATATATTTAAGATAAAGAAATTCTGTCCATCTCTAAACTTGGGCAGCTTTTATTTATGAACTGCTCCTTGACTGCTCTCATGCCTTGTTTAGCCATGTCAAAGACTGGATGTATTGTTTTGGTGATCCACGTATGTTCATATGGCAGCTGGTTGGCCTGAAAAATAATCTGCCAGAAAACAATTCAGATCTGAATTTCCAGACCTTAACTGCTGTATGGTAAAGTGCCCAGACTGCTCCTACCCTGCAGCAAAGTAGTTGTACCCTTTTTCATTTAATTAAATGTTATTCATTCAAACTGAATGAAAGAGCAGCATCCATTTGCTGCAGGATATATATGCACACAGACAATTATGGCTTAGCTGCCCAGTCTGTGCAAGTCCATACTTCAGTTTACCTCCTGATAGTGTGTTTACAAGACCACATCCTAAAGATGGTCTGCAAATTTAGAATGAATGTGTCAGTCAAAGCATCCACTAACCTTGTGAAAGAGTGGAACAATATTCCCCCTATCTACTGAGTGCCAAAAACCTTTCTTTTCTGCTACACCTTTGATACAGTATTCCCATCAGTCACTTGTTCTCTAGGTTTTAACAAGAGGCACAAAACAGCACTTATTTTTTTTCTCTAAGCAAAGACAAATCTCAAACTGTCCCTGGATGACTCCCTTGAATGAGGCTATGACTCAGGTTTCATTTGTTTCCTGTCCTGGTGTGCTCTCTTTTGACACATCCACAAGTTTAGTGATGCCTGGAGGAAACAAACAGGTCGGAGCTGGGATTTCTCAAAATTCGTTTGATTTGTTGATAAAAAGGCCAGTAAAGTATGGCCTCTATAGGGAGTACATTTGTTAAATCTACAAAATGTAGAGCCTTGTGGGTAGAGCTCTGCAAAGACACGCATCCTCGTAATTATTCATCATAATTATTCATCAGTAGCCAAATATCTGCTACAGCAAGAGTATAAGCAGGGTCTTGCCTGAGAAGAGCGTGAACAAACTCAGGGAAAACAGCTCTCTGCAACCTTGGAAGTCCTTACACCACGGCTCTGTGATTGATCTTTTCAATCATACTTGGCTTTCCTTATATGCAAATAGTAAGGCAATCAATCACTGGGAGACCTGCATCTCAAGATTTCTACGGTACCTCATTATTATTCTTACCTGCTGGACACTACTTTACTTCCTACTGCTTTCTTCTCCTTTTAAACTGTGTTACAAAGGTAGAGCCCCTTGGCAGCTTCTGATGAATGCTTTAATGGACATAAAGGTGAAACATGAGAGAAAGTATTTGGGAAGTATGAACTGCTATGGTACAATGAATGATAAATATTCACTGTAATTATAATTTGTGTGTAATAATAGGCTATATGGCCCAGAAAGTTGCTTTTTAAGAACCTGAAATTTAAGAGCTTTATCAAAAGGTTTTAAAATATTGAAATGGTTTTAGGCTACAAGTAATTCAGAGATCACTCATTAAGACAGAAAAGAATGTTTCTGTTATTGAGAGAGAGGTATTTGTATTTCACTTCTTTTTGCCTCTGTTTCAAGAGGCATGTTGATATGTGACATATATTTACTGCTGACACCATGCTTGCCTACCATACTAAGCAGTTAAAGAAATAAGAGAAAAATTCCCCTTTCTCATCATAACCTATTTTCAAGACAATTTAGTACAATGGAAAGCTTTCACTAAACTATAGTTTCAGAGAATCAGACAGAACACTTACTTTGAAAAAGCAGATATTTACTTCTGTTAGTGTGAGTGAATGTAAATACTTAGAAATATTTATCTGTTTTATTACCATAAATGACAAAAGTTAACAGTAACACTGTCCAGTTACTCTTGGGAAATGCTTAAACAAACAAGTATGTGTGTAAGTGAGTGGGTTAAATGGTACCACACAGAAAAAGTGTATCTGAAAAAGGCATCACGTACAGCAAGCCTGGAAAACATCTTAGACATCACAAAGATGAACCTGATGGTTAGCAGGAGTTTATTTGGGACAACTGAGATTTAGTTAAAATCTTGGCATTTAAAAGTTGCTTACTTAATGAAAACAGATTTTTTTTCAAATGTATACAAATATGCTGTATTTGACTATCTTGGAAACAATTAGAGAATTCAAAATTTAGAGTCCAGAAAAGGTATTTATCTTTTGATAGGGGCTAGCTGAGAGATGTTTCTATGAAGAGAACACACTAAGTAAACTGTGAGAAATGCTTTGCTGTGTCATTCCACACATATTCAGCTGCTCTTGGGGAAAGGATACAAACTCCCCTCTTCTGTAAATAGAATAAAAGTTTAAAATGAGAGGACAATAAGAGCCCACACCTTCTCTCCCATATCTCAGCTGATTTGTTAGAAATGCTACCTCAATTCCTGTGGCAGGGAGTAAAAAGACACCTGAGAAATTCCTTATCTGAGTGATTCCTTGGTGTCAATTTTCACACTGTCAGATGTTGGCATTTTTACTCAAGTACTCTAGCAATTTGAGTAAATTTTGAGTATTTGAAGGGTTTGGCAGCCTTCAAATAGTTTCTTTACAAATGCTTCAATTCTTTGCACGGTTAGGGTTATCACTTCTTAACTTAAGAATGGCAAATCTGATGGCCTGGTGCTGTAAACTGGGATTTCTTCATCTGGTGGAGAATAACATAATGAAAAATGTAAAAGACTGGAGTATGTATGGGCCAATAATATAAATCCACAGGAGAGGTAGTACTGAGATTAATTCCCAACAGTGGAAATTACATATTTATACTGTTTAAAAGCTAGTAAAGTCTTACTACTGGAAATAGTTCTGTTGAGTTTAGCCAACAGTTCTGGACTGCCATGTTCAAAAAAGATGAATTTGTATCAAGGATGTGTGCAAAGAAAATCTGCAAGACTGGTAAAGGGAATGAGAATTCCAATCAGGTGAACAATTCTTGACTTAGGCACTAAATGAATACAAAAAGAGGTTCCCAATCCCCCCAATGGCAATGCACATTCTCTCTCTACAACCAAATACTTATGAATAAAGAAAAAAACCCAAGTATTCTATAAGGTAACTGACAGTAAAGGTTTAGTAACAAGTTATATATAGTGACCACTTGAACTAAAAATTGAAGTAAATAGTTGTGTTTTTAGAAAATGCTGCAGAATGTTGTTCTTTGCTTTGGTGGGTCATTGTAGCCTGCATTCACTATATGGGTGCAATTAAGTTAAGTTAAGTTTGTGTCTGAAACAAGGACAAGCAGAAAATGACAGAAAGTGAAAATGAATCTCAGGGCTATAATCTGTATTAGCATGCGAGTACAGGCAGATCCTTGAAAAGTAATTACAAGATATGACTCAACTCAATTTGACAGGTGAAAGAAAGGGCAGGCATGAAAAGAAGAAATGGTAAATGGAATCTCATTTTATCTATCCAATTTTAAGCTAAAGAGCAGTACACAGAAATATGAACCTCATGGAAAGAGAGCAAAAAAACAAAGCAAAACCAGCTTTCCTTACTCCTACAGCAGCTTTCCAAACCCTGTGACAGATGAAAATGAACTGCAGTGCTGATGTAAGTGAGACAGACTTAATTCTATGCCATCATGAATATGGGACTCATGTTCTACAGAGCACCCCAGGCACAACAGAGGAAGATTCCCTTACAGGTTATGTATATCTAATGGTAAAACATTGTCCAAAATTCAGACCTTAGCTAACCAAGACTGTCAGGAATTCCACCGGACAGTAAAAAAGCTATAGATCTTCCCACTAATAAACACATTACAGAATTAATCAAATTTTCTGTTGATTTATGATTGCTGAAGTCTGTCTTTGATACTGTCCTGAATAAATTATTAATCTGAGGTGAAGTTATATGCTTGATACTGACTTTTCAACACACAACTCTCTTCATACAAAGAAAAAGTCACCAAATTATTAAAAATGGAAAATAAAATCTCCTTGAGAGTAATGTACACTCTTCATGACATACACATGACTTATTTCTGTATAAAAGATAACATTCAAGATGGAATCAACACTTCAACTACAAAAAAATTTTTTCACTGCAATAAAACAAGTAGCCACATAAAACCCCAATCTACAATTACCTGGTTGGTAGAAATTTGGTGACAGTTCTCTGGCAACTGCTCTTGCAATATCACATTCCTGGCGAGCAGCCTGAGCAGCCTGATCCGCAGCATCAGCTTTAGCTCTTGCATGTGCGGTTCTGTACAAAGCAGAAAACAGTTTATATGCAGAGGAGTCTTTTATCAGTTGCATCAAGCATGTGAGAGCAAAGGACCTCAGCTATCATACACTATCCTATATAGTCTTAGGACAAATTGTTGTGAGGAATTGCAAATCAGTGAAGTATTTCAGGACCAAATCACTATTCCTCTCAGCTCGTCAGTGCTGTTCATCCTTGGGTCATATTTACTTTCAGGAACACAATTTACAGCCCAAGCTTGTAATTAAAATTTCTACATAGAAGGAAAGAACAGTATCTGACAGAAACATGGGATTAAGATTTATTTACGTGTTACCAGAATGTGTATAGAAGGTCAGACGAAATGTCTTCCACAATCAGATCATGTTGGTACGGAATATAGCTTAGAAAATGTGTTTAACACTTCAATAGGCATTTGTAGAAATGGGGACTTAATTGCCCTAAATTCTTGTAACTCAATTTCAAATACAAAAACAATCCGAAAAGGCAGCTTTTCTGTAATCAACACAACAATATGGAATACTTTGGTAAAGTAATCTACACTCCACTCCTACTATTTCCCTCCTGCTATTTCTCAAAAACCCCCAAGAACAGCTTGTGCAAAGGTCTCTGATTCCAGACTGCAGACTGATAGCTGTGTTACTGCAGGTTTCCATCACTGCTTGTCCCGTCTTCCCTCACCACTTCATTTTCCAAACAGTCATCTGTTTAAAAATTCCTGATGGCAGTGATCTCTCTGTGCCTTCACAGCATAGGCACACAGCCTAGAGCTATGAAATGGCTCGTTAGAACAGAGGCAAGCTAAACATGGCAAACCAGCAGAATATTTTGAGACTCTAAAGATATCACCAAAGTTTCTATAACAAATATGTTAAAGTTCATGCTCTCATAATTTTTCTCATAACATTCTAGTAGAAAACTGACACAGAAGTAAGAAAAGAATTAGTTAACAACAGCACCAAATTTTATCCTGTGCGCCTGGTAATAGCAACAAATAGCAATTAAATAATTGAAGATTTCTAAAAACTTCACTGTAAAAATTCAGTTTTATTTTAAAGTCATAAAGAAGGGTTTGATGTATTTTAGACAAAAGAAGAATTAAATGTTAGCATTAACCAGAATGAGCATCAAGATAAGGGTTTGATGTATTTTAGACAAAAGAAGAATTAAATGTTAGCATTAACCAGAATGAGCATCAAGAGATTAACAGTATGGCAGACTTTGCATTTCTAAAAGGATGTTTAATCCCGTAGGGTACTAGTATAAACACAGACATAAAAAAACCACATAGACAGTTTCATCTGTGGTGCCTGGAGAAGATTTATTTAAGTTACATCCTCCCTAAAATGTGTGTGGGGATAAATGTTGAATGTTCTTTCAAAGCTTAGCTTGTCATAATTTACTGGATAAATATTAGCTTATGCTGCCTTCTTGCAGGTCCACCCAAGTCTGTGAGAAAAAAAAGATAATGAGCAAATGAGTTGTAACACCTTGGCTTTGTACTCAGGAGGGGAGAAAGAAACTGTTAATAAAAACAAATACACTGTATAATCCCATATGTGTTCTGTGCAGTTCATGAATGGGTGCACGGTATGTGCTTGCCTAGTAACAGTAATCAAACCCGTTCTTTCTCTATGATCATTATTTTCAATTAGATGAGCTATTCTTAGCTCCTGCATAATTATGTCTATGTAGCATAAACTTAATGAAAATACTAGAACCAGGAAAACATACTGCCAGACAATAATTAATCTACTCATAGATAACTAGAATGATCACATTATTATATAAAAGAACAAACAGACTACTCCCATATAAAAATAGTCTAATACTATAGCTACTGCTAAGACAGACATTTTAAAAGTTGATATACTAAATAACCAGGAAAACATACTGCCAGGATAATACATTCATTTATTTGTTGATGCCTATGAATTTTCTACATTATTATATACAAGAAGCAAAACAGACATTCTGTTGAAAAGTACAATATCAATTAGTTAAGGAATTAAATGGTAAGAGTAAGTTCTTACATGAGTAAGAAGGCAGTGTAACTTTGTCACATGAAGCTGGGCAGAGCAGGTCACAACAGGAAGAAGCCAAAGGAACAGAAGGTAAATGAGCACAGCTTTCCTTGGCTGCCTTATCTCACACCTCTTTTTTCAGCTCACACTTCCTGCTATTCTGCCTGTTTCTGAACTCTCAGTGAGGAGTCCAGAAGAGGAGCGAGCACTGCCAAGGCCTGTCCTAGCAGTGAGGCGCAGGAGCAGAGCCTCAGCGCCGAGAGACGATGCTGCCAGAGGAACCAACCAGCTCTGGAGGGCAAGGCACAAAAACATGTTTGTGCTCCTGAGCAGGCCTTGGACAGCCACACTGAAGCGTGTGCAGATGCCTGTGCTGAGACACTTTCCTGACAGCCTCTTTGCCGCTGACGAGCGGCGACACAAGTGACAAGGACGGGAGGAAGTGGCAGAGCTGATCCTTCTGCACAGAACAGCAGCTCTGTGCCCTGCCTGGGAACGCAGGCTCTGCGCTGTGTGCAATTGTTTGCTATGTATCGCCTTGGCATTTGGATGCTCTACTGGAGAACTTCAGCAATGTCTATTTTATCATCTCCATTTGCAACTGCATACTTAGATAATTTTTTAATTTCTTGCACACTTAATTCTAAGTGTCAGACTCAAATATTTTTTCTGTTGCTGTTTCTTTTCCTGTTTTTTTTTATTATTCTGACTTCCACCTTTGATCTGCCTGTATGTTTTCCAGATGACTTGCTCACAATCACTGCTGCTTGATACTACATTTTGTCTGTACTTGTTTTATTCTCCCTTGAAGTGACCCGCACGCTATCAGACTAGTACTACCAGAAATTATGGAGAAATGTTTTAGTTTTGAATGATGATGTTTATAAAGCAGAATCCAAGCAGAAACAGAATCCATTTGCTCCATTTACGCTTGACACAGTTTTGGAAAGCTTTCTTTACCTTTCATTTCAGGGGTAATTTTGTCACTGTAAGGTCTCCAAGTTTTGTTTGCTATCAGCAATTATTCATATAAATTTGAAGCCTATGATATATCATGTCAAAATGACCCATAACTGAATCTGAATGACCACCATCTATACTTGAGAGCCATGTTTTTTCTCCAGGGAACTCTATGTCCTTTGCTATGACAAGAGATCTTTATGAGAACTCTTGAAAGCAAAATTTGAAAAAAAAAAAAAGTTTCCTTTCCTCTCCCCAGCCAAGAAAAAGACTGTGGTAGGTTTTTTTCCAGGAAGGATTGATCTCATGTTTCAGCAGCAAAATAGAAATTATGCAGGAAAGAAGGCAGCAATCCACAGATTGCAAAACAGTACAGAAAGATAAGTAACCTGTTTTGCAATGCTGCATTCAGATTCTAATCCATAGCAAAGGACCTTTAATGATTTTTTAAAGTGAATAGGTGGTTCTTGGTAAAAATTATTTCTCAGCAACTGTAATACCTAATACACGCTAGTAACTTTTGAATTACTGTGTGGTTATATGTGTATTTCTCCTGGAAAGTATCATGACTATCATTACTATTCCACACTTGAGTGCTTTCAAATGAATATAAAAATTAAAGTATTTACCAAAATCAACTCATATTTAGAGGGACAATCTGCCACTTCACTAATGAATGCACAGAGGTAAAATTCAGTGAAGACTGGGGCTTCAAATTAAGTTGTAGCTCTGGCAGGAATCAAACTGTACTTACATTAAAAAGGAATTTGTAGCTATAGCTCATAGGGAGTCCTGGTACCACAGGGCAGCATGTGAAGTCCCTGCAGATACCTGGCAGACACCAGTCTCTGTGACCAGTGAGTGAGGGCTGGGGGACCAAGGCCTGACTGAAAACCTGAGAAACTGCATACCAGGGTCTGGTTTTTCAGAGCAGTCTAAGTTTTCTAGACTGTAGGATAACTAGTATTACTACTGATATCTTTCTTTTCAGGTAGGTAAACAGGAACACATCATATTAACTACACACAAAAATTATAAACACAGAGCCAGAGGCTTCTAACAGCTTCTAGCAGCTCCTCTTTCAGCACTACTATGGTCAGATTTCTATCTATTTATGTATGAAAAATAACTTGAAGGAGAAGTGCTGATCCTTGAAGAGCTTAAACAATATTATCTCCTTTTCTGCAGCAACAATGCTTATATATAATGCCATGTGCCTGGAATGCATTATGCAACGTTCATCTAAATTTAAAACCCATTTAGAACTGTTCATTACCCTCCAGATTAGTTTGTATTTCTATGGTATCCTTCAACGCACTTGTAATGCTGCCTCACTCACAGTCAACTAAAAATGTAAGCAGCATATGTTTACTTTGTTTCATTTTTCAGATTTTATTAAACACATTGAATCCAACATAAAGCTTTCCAGGAGCTTGCTTTCTATTTCTTAAAATTATAAAAACAATTTTGCTTTACATTTGCCAAATATATGACACAGAATTATGCTCTTATTACATTATCCTAAACTAGTAATATTTACAATATTAAATTAACAGATTTCCATATTGTAAGAACGAAAATATCAGTAATGGCCAAACCTACATTGTTATCTAGAGATTTTTTATTAATGACAGCTATCAAGTTTATCTGTGTAGCATTACATATTGTGTATAACCCATAACCATCCTTCTTTGAAACTCGAATTCTCTAAAAACAATCCTACCTTCCTAAATTCTAAAATGTTGTGATTGTTCTAGGAAGCAGAGAATATTGTGTTGAGTTTTTTTTTTTTCCAGGTATAAAACTTTCCAGCATTTTCACATTTGTTTCTATCTGTCAGAGAAAAACTTTGCAATCTGCAAAGCCAAGTTCTGGTAAAATTGGTACAGAGATCCATAGCATTTCCAGGTAAAATGTGCTGGAGAGAAAGACTTCAAGGGAAGTTCTTTGGTAGACAAATTTTTTTCTTTTCCCCCATTTTATTTCTATATTCTCCTGATATTATATATCAGTAAT